GAATTTAACACCAGTGCAATTTCGAGCTGTATATCAACGGAACAAAAGGGACCACTTTATCTAAAAACGGTGCACGACGGTTGAAACGGCGGAAAAATAAAGTCGTTCAATCCGAATTAAAATAACAGGGTTGCAAAAATTTATGTCACCAGAACAATGCTCATCGGCCAATGAATACTGACAGTTATTGTTGAGTACATACCGATACAATTGTATGACCAATTCATTGGATCTATTTGGAGCAATTATGAGCTTGATCAAATTATAAATTTTGCAATGAGAGAAAATTTTCTTTTCTTGTAATATTAAAACTGTTTTTAGATAACAGTATTATTGTTAAAAGAGAGAAAATATTGTACTTGTATTTATTTTCAAATGAAATATATTCTTCTCATTTTTCTGACAATTAATAAAAGATTATGTTTTTATTCGTAGGTTTATATGGAATAGTAGATTATTAAATAATATTTAATAGATTTTTATTTTCTTTCTTTTAATTACGAGTTCTATATATGAAAAAAAAGATTGTACATGTTCTTTGTTGCTATAGTATGAGGTATAAATATTTGTAAATAAAAAAATTTATATTTGTGTATGCTGAAGGAACAATAATTTAATCAACAATATATATTTTATTTATAAAATATATATAAATGGAATTGTAAGTAAGACTTTAAAACAGCAACGATTCCTAATATTTTATAACTTTGTTATCGTTACACTTTCGTATTAAAATAACAGGTTACTTAACGTTCAATTAACTATTGCAAGTTTGTCTGCCTCAGTTAATTTTCTGCTAACTTGCAGTTACGTCCAACACTGCTTATAATGAGTTTAAATCTTCGTAAGAACATGTATGCAAGTTTGTGATGTGATCAAACAGGATTGATTTACTGGGCTACTAGATTATCGGTGTTTCGTGCATTTTTCCCCAGAAAACCAATTTCCCATAGATATTAATGATCGATGAGTTCATTAAGCTGTCGATGACTGATTCATAATAATAATACACGCGTAATATCGGTTTTTGAAAAACAAAATGTTTGAAACTGTTGGAAAAAATGTAATCACGTGTCATATTTAATTGCAATAGTAATTATTTAATGATTCGAAAAATATTCATTCTCTTAATAAAATGTTTCTAAAAACTATATATAAATTTAAATTATATATTATAAAACAATATTTCAATGTTATTTGTTATCAGTAATAACATATTTTGAATTATTCAAAGTTAATATTAATATTACGTGATAACATTAAAAGATTTGAATTCACGTAACTTTTTATTTTAAATTATTTTTCTATATTGGAACAGTGGAATTATAATCAAATTATAAATAAAAATTAAATTTTTACTCAATCCAATCTTTTCAAACTTAATTAATTGGAACGTTATTTGGAAATATTTTTAAAGACAATATGTTTTATGATGAAAATGAATGCACGATCACCTTTACAGAATCCTCTGTAAGAGGAAAAAAAGTAAAAATTAGCACATTATTAAGAACGTCTGGTCATGAAAGAAAACGCGCTCCTGTGAAAACCCTCTTTGCCACGTTGATAGGATCACTTTTTAACGTTTGAAACGACACGACGAAGTTAATACAAATTTCCATGAGAAAGGAAATCCTTTTGAATACAATCTCCTCGTAGCCACGAACATCGTAATCTCGTTTTCTCATGGAACAACGATACATTAAAATATAATGAGCATTATCAACTGTGTCCCATTGAGAAATTTCAACTTTCCATCGTATGAAATCTGTTAGACACACAATGAAAAGGGAAACGGAATCTTATTTATCGTATTCAAATAATTAATATAAAACAATTTTCGAGGATCGATTCTAAAGATCAAAATAAATAGAAAAATGTCGATTCTTATTTATTCAATCATATATCAAGAAATTGAAATAAATTTTTGAACGAATGACGATAAACTGTAATATTTTTCTTTCAATGAAGTTGAAGTGTCTTTCATTGATTGGATAACTTATTTATTAATTATTATTATTTAAAATTCGAGAAATATTAATAATCTCTTCTTGCCACTCTTTTTGAAATTCTTTATTTATTTATCTTTTATCCCATACAATGTATGCAGAAAATAATATTATTTAAACGAAGCTTCTAATAGCATGACAGAAGCTTTCGAAAATATGAATACAAATATGAATACAAAGATTATTTTTAAATAAATTCGTCATATCCTTTATTTATTAAATTAACACTCAATAAACGATATCGACATTTTTACACATTCAAACTTTTCGATTTCCAGGATCGATCCCAGCAAATATTACGATAGATTCGAAGGTGAATTCCTTCGAATCAAAGCCTCGATGAGAACTCGCTGTAAAATCCCTTCCCTTCACGATAGGCCCTTCACGATAATTAACAGAGCAAAGCGTCGAGCTTGTTATTATTGTTACATCGGTTACCCGACCAATTATACGAAGTATGCCGTACTAATAACCACCACGTTGTAATAACTGGTAACAACCGAGCATGGTTTACTCACTCGACCACCATCCTCCTCCCTTCATCCTTCGCGGTTGTAAATTACGATCCTTGAATCGTATATTACGCAAAGGTAATATCGAATCATTATTGTATCTGTAACACACGATGGTATCACGGATCGTGGAAACGCGTGTTATCGTGCGGTGATGGAAAGGATTGAAAATTATGCAATGGAAGCTAGGGTTTGGCGTGAACGTAAGAGATGAAGCATGTATGAGGATAATGTATCAGGATTTTAGAAATTTTTGTTTGAAATTGAAATATATTTATTACCTTGCAAAATCATTACATATTTGGAGGTAAAATAATTGTATGAAAAATATAATATATAATATATATATTATATATATAAAATGTAATATAAATAATAAGATGCTACGTAATTATATTTTTATTCGAATAAAAATCGATATTAATAATTTTGAAAATAAAAAGAGCATTTATATCTTTCTTATAATCGGAAGAAAAATTGTAATCAATTCGAGTTTGATAATTTTAATTCTGTTAAAGAGGATTCTATGTATATTATATGCCACTTGTAGGATATTGAGATATCATGTTTACCTTCAATGTTATTCTAAAAGAGAGAATGTAAACTGTAGAACGTTATTATGAAGAAGGAATTTTGGTGAGATTGTTTATTATTATGAGAGATAAAATTGAGTGGAAGGTTCAAGTGTTTAGAGAGAAATGTAAAGCAATTTAAATATTTTATAAATACAGATAATCGAATGTGTATCGAAGATGCTGGTTTAACTTATTAAAAATAAAAGAAAGAAATAATATAAAAATAAACTAGAGAGAGAGAGAGAGAGAATGTGTCACAGAATGTAGATTAAATTTCAGGAATATTACGTTTATGTAGAAACGTAATATGAAATAGTTATTAAACAAAAAATTATTAAATAGATCCAATTATAGAAATTCATTTAAAACCATGCTCTAAATTATGAATCTGTTCTTGAAATAGAACAAGAAGGAGTTGAAATAAAAAGAAAAGTTCGAAAGTTGAACGCATAAGTACTTTTACTTTGGTCATACACAAAGGGATTTCTTCGTTCCGGAAGAAGAATAGAAAAGAAAAAGTTTAATTTAATTTCTTTAACAATTTTCGTCAAAAAAAAAAAAAAAACATATTTCCTCGTCGAGAAATTAATTTCGCTCTACATTTCTAGAAACGAAAAAAAGAGAAGGAGATTAAAATATAGAAATCGATCGATGGATCTAATAACGAAAATTTTAATAAGATATCGATCGAACGATATCTCTTGAAAAGATATCTCGAGGAATACAAAAATATCATATTTTCCTTAAGAAAATTGATCTTTATTCTATTTCGTGCTTCATGGCACACCCGTTCGATAGACCTTCGCCTTTAAAGTGAAACGTATTCCTAGGAAAAGTGTGAGGAACGTGTTAAAACGAGGGAAATACGAGCCTCTATCTAGAGGAAATACGTTATCGTTGAAACTCGAAAATGTAAACCATAGTTGACTGGAATTCCGTGTTTTTTTTCGTTCGAGCTATTTAAAATTTACGATTTTTTTTTTTCTCTTCTTTCCTTCCTCTTTCCCCTCCAAATTTACATTCCTTTTACCACAGCTACTTCTGGACTTTTCCCCGTGGAAGTAATATCGCTCTAGTGGCCCACTTTTATTGCCTTTAATGTAAACGTTTATATGCATATATAGAGGGTGGTAAAAAAACAGGGTTCATAACTTTTTAAGGTATACAAGTGTTGCTGTATTCGTGAGATATACTTTAATCTACCTTTAACCTTTGTTGCTCGAAATTGACTTTTCGAAAGATGTACCATGAATGTGCATCAATAATTTTAACAACAAAATTATAATTTTGTTAATTACAAAGTTACATTTATACGGAGAAAATTTGTCAAAATAATAAAATTAACGATGTATTTTCTTTGATTCGTTTTCTAAAGAGACGAGAGAAAGTGTTTTTCTAAAAATCTGATAAATTAGAAAACGAATTTTACTTTTATTTTTGTACGTATCGGGATATAAATTTGAAATTTTCTTGTAAATTTAATTCATTTGTATTAAAACAAAATATACAAATAAATACAAATAAATAAATTTAATCGATTAATTTCATTTTTAAAAAAGCTTTAAAATATTGTCGACAGTATGCTTATGCTGATACAAAGCAATTATATTCTGATAAATGCTACCACTAATAGTCTGAGATATAATTGAATTAAGCTACCCTGGAGGTAGACAACAATGCTCTGGCAGTGCAATGATTATTGCAATGGTTAATTGAATATTATCCTGAAAGGATATTGCATTCAAAGCAGTATCTATGATTGCTTCTTAAATGTATCGTAACAAGATTAAAACAATTCTCAATTAAAATGATTAACTCTTTTTCGAATTGAAAATTATATCCAATATCTAAATTCCAATTAATTCAATAATTACGTGTGTCATTAAGATGATAATTTAAACATAAACTAAACTGATTGATAGTGGTTAGTAATACAGATGATAGATACGTAACTATGACTCACAATGATCGATAATAAACTCCCCCTTATGCAAACTTCAATATATCGAGCGAAAATTTTTCCCATTCCTACAACTACTTCAACTCAATCCCTCGTCATTTTATTATTTCAAAATTTCAACAAAATCATTATATCTAGAAAATTGTACACGCAATAATCATATTTCTATCTTCCTAAAATTTTTCTGTTTTCTTAAAAAGATAATTTTGAATGTAATTTAAATTATTATTTATCAATTACACACAATTTTAAAAAATAAAAGAAATTTTTATTGATACGTTCAACTAAAAAACTCTACAAAATTTCAAAATAGAATAGAAACGTACATTAACCGCAATCGTCGAACGAAAAATATCTTTCTCGAATAAATCCAGCAACCTCGCGTTAAATCTCGCTGTATCTCGACAACAATTTACGCGATCACAAGCGCGGAGGATCTTTCTTTTTCCCTTTAATTGAAAGCAATTTATTCCACGTATCAAGAAGACCGATGCGGCAAGAAGATCGATCGAAGGGAAATACTCTGATGTAAAATTAAAGAGGACACGTCATAAGGAGAGAAGGGAGGGGGAGACTTCGTCATCGAGGGCCGCGTAATCGAGGGAGTGACTCGAGAAACTAAGGTGGGTGTATCCGCTGGCCGATGACCATCTGCTGGCCCATTCCTCCCCCATCCTTTACACGGTAAAGAATCGAATCACGTAACAATTACCTGGCGCCAATCAGGATGGAAGTGGTCGCGCGCTCCAGGAGCTTGAAGTGCTCCACGTGGCTCTCGTTTCCCAGGAACCGCTGGCCAATCACCTCGCCTGGAACAGATCGAACAGGGGAGGATATAGAGAAACTTCTTAGCACTTGGAATCTTCTCGTGTCTATTATTCTTCTTCCCTTACCCGGTTTCTATATATACCAACTTTTATCGCGTAATAACGTGAAAGAGACTCAATGGGTAATGAGCTCAGTTTTAAGCGCGATAGGATTATTATAAAGTTTGTTATCCGCGAAGGAGAGAAAAAATCGATCTCGTATGGCGAAGAAAGTAAACGAAAAGTAATAAGTTTTCTTTTTCTTTTTTAATTTTTGAAAAGAAGATTAAAAATTGGATTGATCTTGGATTTAGCTTGAAATATTTTTTAATCTTCTTTCAATGTCGTATAAACTTCTACATCTACACTGTTGAAAAATTTATCCATTCGACAAGAAGGATAAAATGAAAATTCTCGATTGAACGAGAACAGGAATCCTGTCAATTAAACCCTTTCGAAATTAATACGGAGAATAATACTCACCCTCTGTTTCGCAAAGAGAGGGGAATTATCACAGAGCGTGAAGCTAAACAGAACGTGGGATCAGTGACACGCCATCGAATCCATAATTCGACGCATCTATAATGTCCGCGAAACCGTTACACCCTGTCTATTACGCCTATTTCGCGCACAGTTTGCTCAAAATCTAAACCACCACCACTTCCCTCAAACGTCGCTACAGATAAACGGCCTATGATAAATCACGCAGCTGCGATTACGCTCGAGAGAGCTTCGAGCATCGATTCGACGAGATTTCACGGTTCTTTTCCACCTTCGAAATCGTAAGAGCCTTACAAAACTAAAAATTGCATTACACGGAACCTCTCTCTCTCTCTCTCTCTTTCTTTTGAGGAGGAGAAGAGAGTCTTCATTGGTCGCCCACTATCTCACGGCGTGATTCTCACCTGGAGATCGGAGTTTACCGGCGTTATAAAACGGCTCATCATCGCGATCCATGAATGGATTTTGCCCGTATACGCCGTCGTCTCCCGTACGGCTGCACGCCCACGCGCTCAGATTTATAAGCCAGATATATAAGCCAGCGTGGGTGTATCGATGCGCCTGAATGGGAGGAAGGACTTGTTACGGTGGTTGGAATGGTGGATAGAGATGCAGGAGATGCTCGTGATGGAGAACGATGTTGAGGAGAAAGGTGTACGAGGAGGAAGAACAAGATGACGGCGAGGAAGAGCGATTGCGGGGGGAGGAACGAGGTGTGCTCGAGGAGCAAGATTCTAGGATTTAAAGTTGAACGATGGATAATGGGGAGGGAAGAGGAGATGACTGAGGGGAATAAGATTTTTCTTTCGAAGATTAGAACGAAGGAATGAAGAATTTAGGGGGGAGGGTTCGAAGTCAAATGTTGGACAATCGTGAGGGAATAGGAAATGAGATGATGATGTTATAAGGAGAAGGAGAAATCTTCTTGCAGATGTTAAATCTAAGGAAGTCTAGTGATACGATATTGCGAAAAGAAAATGGAAAATGGATTATAAGAAAGAGGAGAGACACGTTTAAGGAATAAAAAACAAAAATAAGAATTGAATGGTGGAAGGAAAAGAACGAAGAGGACAATTGTGAACGAAAAATGTGATGAGAATAACAAAATTTCTTCCATGAACAATCATATATATATATATAAAATCGTATATAGAACACCGATAAAATAAGAAGAAGAAAGCCTCGATCAAAGAGACTAGGAATTAAGAGAAAGGGAGGCGTAGGAGGACCGGTCAAAGAGGAGATAAATCGGCGAACGAAGGGAGGGGAGGAGTCGAGGAGGAAATTTCAACGAAGGGAAGAGGAAGGAAGGAGGCAAAGGGGGCGAATAAAAAAAAAAAAAAGAATCGAGAGAGAACACGGCAAGAGAGTGGA